TTAAGATGTGGAAGATTTCAATTGTGGTTGATGGTGGTGGTGTTAGTAGTTGTGGTGGAGTGTTGTGGTAGTTGAATTGTGGTTAGTGGTGAGAATTGTGGTAGTGATAGGGAGTGGTAGTTGTGGTTAGAATCGTGGTAGTGATAGTGAGTGGTAGTTGTTAGTGGTGTGAATTGTGTTCGTTGAATTGTGGTTGGTGGTGAGAATTGTTGTAGGTGAGGTAGTGAGAATTGTGCTAGTGAGCGTTGTAATCTAGTTGTTGCTATGGTAGCGTATTCAAGGTTGGGTCGTGAGGTTGCACACACACACACACACACACACACACACAGGTTGCAAGATTTGTTGTTGCAAGCAGATGAGAGAGACTTTGCTCGTTCACTATACTACCATTACAGGATCTAGAGGACAATATAGGTCAAAAATCTTCTTCCATCAGGGGTCAGATTTTCAGAGGTCAAGAAGAGGTCACATGCTAGGTCAGGTTTCAGATTTTTTTTTCTTCAGATTCATGGGTCAAGTTTTCAGAGGCCAAGATGAGGCCACATGCTAGGTCAGATTCATTGGTTAGGTTTTCAGAGGTCAAGATGGTCACACATGTTAGGTCAGAGGTTAAGTTGAGACCAGCGACCAGCTAATTTGACTAACGTTGGATTCCTGTTGTGGTCATCATCTGCATGTCCTGGTGCGATGGTGGTTGTGGGAGGGGGTAGTAGTTGTGGTAGGGGTAGTAGTAAGGGTAGTGGTAAAGTAGTAGTGGTGGTGGTGGTAGTAGAAGTAATAGTAGTAATGGGGATAATTGTGGTAGATGGTTGTGGCATTGAGTAGTGGTAGTGTTGATATATGTAATGGTGGTGCTGGTAGTAGTGGTAGATGCTGGTGGTAGTAGGTAGATGTGGTGATGTGAGATGGTAGAAACTGTGGTAGTGGTGGTACAGGGTGATGATGGTAGTAGTGGTGGTGGTGATGGTGGAAGTGGTTGCAAGTTCATCACACACAGTCACAACAACCATTATCTCGGACATGACATTTACACACACTGTTGCCTCACCCGACTTGACTGCTCATACTTGTCTTACAGGAGAGAGGAAATAGAGAGAATGGGGGATTTTGGGTGGAGAAATAGGCGCCTAACTTGACCTAACCTAGCCTGACTTTAACCTAACCTAACCTAACCTAGCCTGACTTTAACCTAACCTAATCTAATCTAGAATATAGTATTTTGCTGTAAATCTTGGCACTGATTTTTTTGTGTAATAAATGCTTTTTCTTTTGTAAATCTTTTTTCAGTAATACAAAATATTACTTTTTTCGTATTAATTTAAAACTAATGAATACATGATTTTTCTGAAATAAATAACTAATTTTGGAGGGATTTATTCAACATCAAATAAGTACTTTAAAAATATTTTCGTCTATTTATCTATAAAAAAAATATTTAAAATAATTTTTTTAAACGTAAAAAATCACGTGAAGTTCGTTGTAAAATATAGTCAGTTACAGAGTAGTGATGAAGTAGAATTCGGTTCTTTGTATTTTACTGTATTCAGGATTCTCACGCACAGGAAGTTCAGTAATTTCAAGTATTTTCTGGTTTCAAAGTGTTCTCATTTTTTCTCACTAATGTTGTAAATTTTATTGAGTAATCATACTTGGGGGTTAAAAAAAACGTTGGTTATAAACGTTGGATCGTAGCTTGAACGTTGTCCTGGATAGTGAGATGGGAGGAGGGGGGTGTGGTCACGTGGGCGATCGTTGCCATGACAACCTGGACGGGAGCTGCCAGACGTTGCCACAAGTTGCGAGGTTAAGAGGCGATGTAAGTATAGTCGATAGGATTAATTCTCCTTGAATATCATAAGCATTTAATTATTATCTCATGAATTTACGGTAAAAAATGTATTTGAATGTCGTAAAGGTATTTTTTTTAAAGTGGTAGAGTTTAAAGGTATTATATCGAAAAATGTCTTAACCCCGTTATTGTGAGCGGGTGGCAGAGTTGGAGGAGGTTGCTGCAGTTGTTGTACCGTAATGTCGGTATTTTAGCTTCTCTGGATAACGTCGGGAGATTTTTTTTTTATAGGGAGGGGGGCGTGGGCGAGGCGGGGAGATGTTGGGATGGGAGTGGGCGGTTGGGTGGGTCGAGGGTGGAGGGCGGGAAGCACGTGTTGCGCCCTCCACGTGTTCTCTTCTGTGCTGGCGGCCGAGTGGTGGAGGAGACGACTGGGTGACTGGGCTTCCGTACTGCCATCCACCACCACCCCCCATCTTGCCGCCACCCTACCTTCTCCTACCCCACGCAACACCACCTACCACCACCCTGTCACCACCATCCACCCACTGTGTCCTCTTGTTGACGTCACCCAGTTGCACGCTGAAAACGGACCTATTGCAAGTGACTTCACCACCACTGTGTCGTCAACGTAACACACACTCGTCTGCAATGTATTAATGAATGCCATTTTGTATTAACATTTATTTTGCTTTTTATGGAGTCATATTAATATTTTATTGTGACTAATTTTTGTTGTTTTTTAATGTTATTTTTATTATAATTATTAATGCGACTATTTATTATTGTTATTATTATTATTATTATTATTATTATTATTATTATTGTTATTATTATTATTATTATTATTATTATTATATTTTTTAGATTATCTCAATAACTGCTGGTATTAATGTTGTGTGTGTGTGTGTGTGTGTGTGTGTGTGTGTGTGTGTGTGTGTGTAAAATAATAATAATAATATTAAACGTGTGTGTGTGTGTCTATCTATCTATCTATCTATCTGTTCGTCCTCAGTTCCCCGTAACGACAGAACAGTTTACCACTCGACCTTAACACAGATAAGACGTTTATAAATAGATATAAATAATATATGAATGACGTCACAATAGAGGGGGAATTTCGACCTTAGTGTCTTGATTTGTTGATATTGTAATGTTAGGCTGAAGATAGTGTTATGTTAATGTTGTGATGGCTAGGTTGATTAACTGAAGGAACCTAGCTTAGGATAATTAACCTAACTTAACCTGACATAAGATGCTTACATGATTAACGCAACCTAACCCGATTAAGTTAACCTATCACGCCTTATTATCCCAATTTTGCCTAGTTAACCTAACCAATTTAATATATTTTTAACCTAACCTAACCTTACCTTACCTTACCTTACCTTACCTTACCTTACCTTACCTTATCACTGCTTCGTGTTCCAACTATATCTTACTATCGAACACCAGGCAATGAACTAACACTGGTGTGTGTGTGTGTGTGTGTGTGTGTGAGAGAGATGGTTTCCGCATTTGTGACGCCATTCGTTCGGTTTATCAGTTGGAATTTGTCGTATCAGCAAGGTTGGTGACGGCTACGAGTTGTGTAAGAGTGCGTGGAGGTCAGGAGAGGATTAGGCACCCCAGCTTATTTCACCAGAAGATTAGGCACCCCAGCTTATTTCACCTGGAGATTAAAAGGTTTTCGATTTCGTTATTTCAATTGGGAAGAATTAACGTTATTTAAACCGGATATTACGAATAATTTACGTTATTTAAATGGCGTTATTGTAAAGCAAGAAATATACATAAATTACTTCACCGTTAGCAAACCATTTTAAATACACTAAGTTAACCACGTCTATAGTTAACCACATCTCAACCACGTTTAAGTTAACTAAAACGATCCAGTTATGGGGCATTGTTAGTATTGATGATTAAAGCAAATCACTCTTGTTATCTCTTCAATGAATATTTTATCATAACTTTCAAGAAATTCACCCGCGTGTGTCTTAACCCTGTGTCTGTTATTTACTAAAGATAATAAAGACCTACAACTATACATATTGATGGGTTCCAATGTTATTCCTCCTGGTTGTGAGTCATGTGTGTCTTTCTCCTACTGTACACGCGCAAGACTTCTGAAAGGATGTCAACATTTAAGATGCTTGGGTAATCTATTGTGTTTTAGAACGGTATAATGAGTTCCAATAATCTTTCTCAAGGTACTCTGGATCCCATACTTGCGCCAGACTTCTAAAACGATGCCAACAAGACGAATTTAGTTTCAGGTATTATTTAAATTTACTATATGGGGGAATGTAACTTTTTTTTTAAATGTTATTTGATGGGTTCCAATAATCCTGTTCACCGCCATTCTGTAATCCTCTCTTACTTGCGGAAGTCTTCTGAAAGGGCGTCAATATTAGTTTGTATTTTGCCATGCATTGTCTAGAATAGTCATGAAAGGTTAAATAATCCTTGATAGGGGCCTTGGGTATTCCTCCCTAAATTGAAGTCTTATGAAAAGTTGTCAACATCATGGAACAATTTATGCCATATCATGTTCAGCTGATATATGAACTGCGTATAATGTTCAGCTTTTCATATAAGCAATAGTTATTGTTCATTTCATCTTTTATTTTGTAGATCTGAACAAATTTGTGCCTTTTGAGAAATTAGTTCATATTAGACTCAAGTGAAATTGGTTGTGGTAAATTGTTCCATTGTTCATGTGGGTATCAGGTTGGGATTCATTTATTAGCTGAGTTATTTGTTCTTTTGTTCAGTTATGTTCACGAGGTTACTTTCTCCTGTCCTTGGCGAGGTAACGGTGGAGGCCGACCCCACCTGGCTAACGGTCCCTCACTTCTCTCACTCACTTCTTTCTCACCTCTCACTACTGTCTTGCATCTCACGTTTTTCTCTCCTCACCTCACCTGTCCCTCACTTCACTTCTCACCTCACTACTTAAAATTTGTAGCCTAAAAAACCTAACCTAACCCATTGATCCAACCTAACATAATCAAACCTAACCTAACCCTAAGATAATGATGATAGAGTAGTAATGGTGTTAATTGATGATGATGATGATGCTGTTAATGATGGTGATGATGATATATCCAGGTGAGACATAACTAAGGTGTTGCTGTAGAGGTGAACCATCATAGAGCCGGGTTGTGTAATGGAATATAATTAATACTTTCTCTATTGTTTTTTTTTACAGGTAAGTAGCCAGTCCTGCCCCCAACCTGTACTGCCGGGGGTGAGTACTGCCTGGAGGGAAGTGGAGGGAGGGAGAGGTGGGGGGAGGTAAATGGAGAGAAGGGAAGGAGGAGGGAAGGGAGATGGAGGGAGGGAGGGAAGTGCGAGGTAAGAGGGAGGGAGGGAAGGAAGGAGCAGTGATTACCAGTTCTGATTGGAGGGCTACAAGCTGCCCCAAGTTGAACACACCATTACGATTGGCTGGTCATTCCTAATAGACCCCACTCTAACCTAAGGATTGGGACTAATCTTAATGCATTCCAGTCCTAACCAGACCCCTCTCCCAGCTTAACCCATTCATACTGATTGGGAGTCTAGGCCCCAATCTTTGTGGGGTTATGTTTTTGGGGTCTGTTAGGACTTGGATCTAAAAGGACTTAAGTGACAGTAGATTGTTTTGTTTACTCTCTCTCTTAGGGAGGGGGGTGATGGAGGTGTGGTCTGGGGGGTGGTATGTGTCAGGGAGGGCACTGTGTCACGGGGTCAGGTCACGCTCTCACGCCCACAGTCACGGGGCGGGGCAGGTGACAGGTAGATGCTTGGAGAGAGAGAGAGAGAGAAGATAATAAGAGAATTAAAGAGAGATAATGAGAGAGGAGAGGCGAGGCAAGGAGAGAGAGAGAGAGAGAGGGAGAGAGAGAGAGAGAGAGAGAGAGAGAGAGAGAGAGAGAGAGAGAGAGAGAGAGAGATCAATGACTGATCGTTTGGGACAGGAACACTAATTTACACAGGTGTTAAACCCGACCCACTACCTGTGCCACCACCATCACCCCTACTACCTGTGCCATTAACACCACTTCTGCCACTACCACCACTATTACTACTACCACTGCTACCTTCATCTTTACCATTCTCGATATCCAGACCACATCCCCGCCTACCACACCCCGGACCACACCCCCGTCTGCCACACCCCACCTACCACATCCACACCTTATGCACCCACACCTACCACACAGTGACCACATACAGAATAACAAGTACAAATAGACTACAATACATACTGTACATATATTCAAATACATACATGTAGCAGTATATATATATATATATATATATATATATATATACTCGTCCATAGATTTATACAGCAGTGACTATATTACACACACACACAGGGAACAGTATCAAGCAACAGAAGCCGTGGAGGGAGGGAGGGAGGGGTACAGGTGAACGTCCTAGAGTGCAGCATCGTACTGTTCATAAAGTTCCCACGCCTTCCTTCCCCTTTCTTCACGTCCCCTTCATTCCCTCACTCCCCTTCCCTCCCTCTCGCTCCCCTTCCTCCCCTCACTCCCCTTCCCTCCCTCTCGCTCCCCTTCCCCCTCACGTCTCCTCCTCCTCATCTTCCCACCTCACGTCTCCTTCCTCTCCCATTCTCACGGCCCCGGAAAACCTTGCCACTTGAATCGACTCTCCACTCCCTCCTCCTCCTTCCAATTCTCCTTCCACTCCTCCTCCTCTTCCTCCTCTACCCCTTCCTCCTCACCTCCCCCTCCACTCCACTTCCTCCCTCCCTCCCTCCCTCCCTCCCAATGTAGGACGCTCCCAGTTATGCTTGACTGTATTTACTTGACAGGTACAAGTGAGAGAATTACCTGGCCTACCTGTCTTAAGCTTTCCTACCTGTCTTAAACTCTCCTACCTGGTCTTGATTACAGGTGTGGTGCAGGCATGTTGACAGGTTTGTGGCAGGTGTGCATGGTGACAGAGACTTTTCTCCCCCCCTCTCACCCTGTCTGCTATTGGGTTGACTTCCACAGCGAATCGGCCAATAACGGAGAGGTCAGAACAGTTAGCGTAGCCAATCAGTGAGAGAAGCGAGATAAACCCCCATACCCTCAACCGTCCTCACCTCAACCACCCCCCATCGTCCCCCCACCCTCAACCACCCCCATCGTCCCCCCACCTCAACCACTTCATCGTCCCCACTCTCAACCACCCCTCATCGTCCCCTCACCCTCAACCACCCCCCCATCGTCCCCCCTTCACCCTTCTTTCTTCCAAACCCTCTTCTCTTTACCCCTCCTTTTCTCATTCATCTTCGCCCCTCTTCCCTCCCTCACCCCTCTCCTCACCTCTCCTCTTCCCTCTCCTCACCTCTTCCCTCTCCTCACCTCCTCTTCCCTCCCTCCCTCTTCACGTCTCCTCCCTCCCTACCTCCCCCTGTTCTGCGTGAGGGTTAGAGGGAGGTAAAATTATCGCACCGGAGGCTACTAACTGTTTACAAATACTCGAGGTTAACAAAGGCGCCCAAGTTAACTGTTTACAAAGGCGTCAGGATTTATCTGTTCACAAAGGCGCCCAAATTAACTGTTTACAAAGGCGTCAGGATTTATCTGCTTGCCAAAGGCGTCAGGATTTATCTGTTGCCAAAGGCGCTGTGGATTTATCTGTTTGCCAAAGGCGCTTACGGATTTATCTGTTTACAAAGGCGTCAGGATTTATCTGTGCCAACAAAGGCGCCCAAATTAACTGCTTACAAAGGCGGCAGGATTTATCTTTACAAAGGCGTCAGGATTTATCTGTTTACAAAGGCGTCAGGATTTATCTGTTTACAAAGGCGTCAGGATTTATCTGAAAACGCCAAAGGCGCCCAAGTTAACTGTTTACAAAGGCGTCAGGATTTATCTGTTCACAAAGGCGGCAGGATTTAACTATTTACAAAGGCGCCCAAGTTAACTGTTTACAAAGGCGGCAGGATTTATCTGTTTACAAAGGCGGCAGGATTTATCTGTTTACAAAGGCGTCAGGATTTATCTGTTCACAAAGGCGCCCAAATTAACTGTTTACAAAGGCGTCAGGATTTTTGGGCATTATAATAACAGGTAACAGAATATTTAGTTCACTGTTAACGGGAGGTGAAGTGTTTTACTGTTTGTGTGTGTTTTATTGAACGGTTGAATCTGGAGCTGATCATGTTACGTGTTTACTGTTGTTTTCTGTTGATAGATTTTTACAGGTGTTTGCAGGTTTTGACAGGTTGTGCAGGTTTGACAGGTATTTACAGGTGTATGACAGGTGTGTGCAGGTGTAGCTCATAGGTTCAGTACAAAGGTTTATACTGTGGTTTTCCTCTACAAACTTTTACAAATTGGTACCTTTTAAAATTCTAAACAGAGGTGTGTGTGTGTGTGTGTATGTGTGTGTGTGTGTGTGAGAGAACCTGAATATTACACACCCTAATGATACCTTTGGGGTTAGGTTAGGTTAGATTAGGTTACATTTGGTTTGGTTAGGTTAGATTAGGTTACATTAGGTTTGGTTAGGTTAGCATTAAGTCTTCAAATGCAGATACAAATTAATAAAAATCGATCCCATCAGAGGTCCTGCCCAGCGCCATCTATTGACCAAATTCCAAAGCACTTAATTCATTTCTGTCCCAAGTTATCGTGTGGACAGTAATAACGGACGGACTGACGGATGCGTGGGTGTTCCGTCAACATCTCCCGCCACTGGTGACCTACGACGCGACGGTAGACAATTGAGTGCGTTGAGAGAGAGAGAGAGAGAGAGAGAGAGAGAGAGAGAGAGAGAGAGAGAGAGAGAGCTGGCAGGGAGTGTGGAATACAGATTTTAAAGTAGAACAAATCATTGATCCTGCGTGTCTGTGTGTATGTATGTATGTATGTATGTATGTATGTATGTATGTATGCTTGCTTGCTGTACTGTATAGTTTTTATCGTGTATATTCAATTGAAACGTTTGAATTGTTTATATTGTATAGTGTATAGCCATTTAAATCATGAATGCTATGCGGTGTAGATGTAAAAAAAATACGTTAAATGTAAACCCACACTGTATAGCACAATTCGTTTTTACATAGCAGAGGATATGTATTCGCTAAATGTTCGCTAAATTTTCACTAAGCCAATCCAGTGGTGTGTACGGGTATTAAAATCGCCAAATTAACCATCGGCCAACGTTTTTAACATAGCATTATCTTGGCGCTATTTTTGGCTGCGTAGAGACGGGTTACAGTAGAGAGAAAATCAACGGGTTACATGGAGAGAAAACCGCGATGTTGGTGAGGTAGAATTCGCGCTCTGCCTAGAATCTGAGAAATTAACGGGAGAGATGAATTCGCGATATCAAAACTGTGTGAGAGTGAATTCGTATATAATGTTTTTATTTGTTATTGTTCGTGATTATTATTATTATTATTATTATTATTATTATTATTATTATTATTATTATTATTGTTATTATTATTGTTATTATTATTGTTATTGTTATTATTATTATTATTATTATTATTATTATTATTATTATTATTATTGTTATTGTTATTATTATTATTATTCCTATATTTTGTTTGTAAATATATGTAAATTATTATTATTTACCATATTACCTACATATAGTGTAGTAATTTATATAACTAGATTTACATATAGATTATCAGTAACAATTGTAATATATAATGAAATCTTAATATATATATATATATATAATACGCCTCTTGCTTATTATTTTATTGTTAATAAGGTCACTTGTAATACGTGGTGTCAAGGTTACCTATGTGTACCTGGTGACTGGTTACCTGTGTGTGTGTACCTGGTGATTGGTTACCTGTGTGTACCTGGTGACTGGTTACCTGTGTGTGTGTACCTGGTGACTGGTTACCTGTGTGTACCTGGTGATTGGTTACCTGTGTGTACCTGGTGATTGGTTACCTATGTGTGTACCTGGTGATTAGTTACCTGTGTGTACCTGGTGATGATTAATTAAGAATATATTAGTAATGTTAAAATATTATTATTATTACATCAGGAGAGAAGACCAAATAACACACACACACACACCCATAGGTTTCACTTAAAAAACACACACCAGACTCGTCATGGAATATTCCAGAATATGGTAGCCGGGGGGGTGGAGGAGGGTCGGGGGTGGAGGGGGGGGTCGTTTTTGGTGCGGCTGTGAGATTGCATGTTTTTGTGTTTGTTTTTATTTTTGTTGTTTTTTGTTTGTTTTTTGGGAGGGGTCGTATTTGTAGTC